GATAGTATTTTTAAGGAACTGAAATGTAAGTCTGTCATAAGAGAAGAAGGGAATGAATAAAGTGAACTGGATGTCTGTAAAATTAACTAGAAATTTATAAGGTGCTAAGGTATAAACACCTAAGGAAGATACTCTCAAACAGGAAAACTAAATGTTGAGTACCTAAGTAAAAGTCTTCAGACTCAATTTGTTTTTCTTTTCCCCATTGAAGTGACCCAAATACTTTAAGCAAATTAACATTTATACACCAATAAAAGTAAGATGTTTAACTACTCACACTGTAAAACATAGGCAAGTCCAAACATAACCAAAATAATGATTGCCAAGTATTGGAACAACTAACTTGGAGGTATGAAAGTTTTATAGAAAACTTAAAGAGGATATTATTGGTTGTAAAGATATTACCTAATGAACCTGAGGTATTTCAAGCAAAACAAAAAAACCCAAAAATATACAATATACAAGTGCCTCAAAATTATTAAATATTGAACAGTAACATTGGGAGCCTGAGGTAGTTGAAATACCTGTTAATGTTACGTAACTTACAGAGTGAACTTAAAGCATTTCAGTCATCTTGCTGATCTTTTAATAACCTCTTATTTATGCAGTGTGTCTTACACCATCAATGATGGCCACAGGACCAATCCATTTGGTCTTCTTTCCCTCGTCACGGGCTTGTTTGACAGTTGGCCACAGTTTATTTCTGCACTGTCTCTCCATGTAGGTGAGATCTTCAGCCAACCTGAGATTCTTCTTCTTCATCACATCAGAGTTGAGGGAAGCTCTCCACACTTTGTGTCGGAAGGTGCGCATGGTGAACTGTATGATGATGGGGCGTGAGCGGTTTTCATCTCTTGTTCGACCAACTCTGTGAACAGTATCTATCATGAACTCGAATTTGTTCTTTTCCTCTGGGATGATCAGGGCGATTATATCCATCACCTCTTTTCTTATATCTTCATTACTATGCTCTGGAAGATTCAGCAAACGCAGGTTCCACCGCCGACTATATCTCTCCGTCTCCTCTTGTTTCTCTTGAAGTGCAGCAATGTGATCTTTCAGCTTCTTCACAGTAACCTCTGTCTCTTTGCTTTGTATTTCAAGACCTTTCACTTGATCCCGCACGGCAATAATCTCCGCCGTGTTTTTGTTCACCATTTGTTCGAATTTGGAGAATCTGTCATTCAGCCCATTAATAGCTTTCAAGATGTCAGCATTGGATACAGCTTCCTCTCTTACCTTGTGCACTTCGATGCGGCTCTTCTTTGGGTTGGGGCTCTTTAGAGGGGTCTGAGGGAGAGGTTTGCATAAGCTTGCAAAGGTTTTATCTGGCTCCAAGTCCATTATCAGTCCTTCCTTTCTTTTTGCCTCTTTTTTGGCCATGCTTATCCCGTGGCTATTAGCTAAATGTTTCTATACAAGCTAACACTTCACCGTGTCAGAATTCGGCAGGGAAAAAAAGAACTCAGTTCGGCCTGATGTTATAAAGATGTCCTGTACGTATGCAAAACACAAGTGCAATGAGTCACTTCTAATAAAGGAATTATCTGAGTCCGTTTAGATCATTTAAAACGTTAGGTACTCATCAGAAATTCACGAGCTTACGGAGAAGCGTCCACACAGGTCGCCATCTTGGCCACGCTCCTTTCGTTAACTGATATTTCTCCACCAACTATTCAAATATAATGACGTCACACGTTAACTTTGTAGTTTTGCGTTCTGACTCTTCGGTGACGTCATCGATTGAAGCTGCTCAAGTTCTGCTGGTGAAAAAATGTCACTTTGAAACTTTTACAGGTGAAGCATTTTTTTTTTTTACAGTTTTGAAGGTATTATAGTGACAAAAGGGGCCACGAGATGGCGCCATTTTCACGTAGTTGATACCGTTGGCTGTTTGGTTTCTGTTCACACCCCTCCACGAGTGTTTTGCATAAAGTATTCAGGCTCATGATTTCTGCTTCCTCTCTGGCTGAATTATATTACATTAAATTAAATTAAATTAAGGAAACTAGAGCGAGTCTTTCATCATTAATTAGTTATTTACCTAAAGTGCATTTTTGGTGCTTTACATGTTTGCTGAACTGCTTCATGGGCTAAAAACCTTCTGATTCGTTAGACGCTGACTCTGTTCTTCAAATAAAATCTAAACTTTTTCATTTGGCTTCCTGGATTGCCAAGTTTGAAAATAAAAGCATTCAACAGAGTGTCAAAATGTGTTGTGTAAGTGTAGAAACACTGAACAAAAATATAAATGCAACACTTTGGTTTTTGCTCCCATTTTTCATGAGCTGAACTCAAAGATATGAAACATTTTCTACATGCACAAAATACCCATTACTCTCAAATCAGTCTAAATCTCTGTCAGTGAGCACTTCTCCTTTGCATCCCACCTCACAAGTGTGGCATATTAAGGTGCTGATTAGACAGCATGACTATTGCACAGGTGTGCCTTAGACTGCCCACAATAAATGGGCCTGCAGGAGGGTGTGCCCATATAGCTTTTTTTAGGCTGCACTTGGCCAGGCCACATGGGCAAAGGCCCAGCCATCAGGCTGTCTGCAGCTGCAGTCACAACTGACAACATACAAAAAGGACGATGACCTGATGAATTTTCTTTAAAAATATCATTTTTAAAAATGGCTGCCAATATTTATTTCAGACAGTTTGACAATAATTACAGTTTACAGCATTCAAAAATCATGTTCACCACTCAGCTGTTTTAGGGAATACACCAAATACCACGTGTTATTATAATGTGGTCAACGTATTTTCACTTTATTTGTCACAAAGTTCATCTGCTTTTCATGTTGGTGCAGTTCCACATCTCATTGTTCAAGCAGCAGGCTTATCTTGAAAACATGCATTTTTCCCCCCAAGGCTGGTAAGGCGTTAGAATATTCAACCGTTGCTTTGGTTTCAGACGTCAGTGATTGTGGCTAAATGCACTTTTTTTTTCTTTATTTTCTCAAAAACAGATTCACTAACTGTCAATTTGTTTTCCGTTTTACGATTAAAAAATATTACAATACCATTGGGCTGGAGAGGCATCTGGGTGACAGTGATCACAACTTTGTACAGTTTGTTAAAAATCTACTCTACTATGTAACCGTATCTGTGTGAGGTGACCTGCACCCCTAGTGTCTGCTCAGTAGCTGAGTATCTGTTGCGCAGAACTGCTTTGCTGCTGAGGGGTGGCTGGCTGGCTCTGGCTGGGCCGGCCTGGATCTGGGCCTCCTGCCTCTCGCCATGTGCACCCTCCACCACTGGAGTGACCTGGCTGCCCTCAGCTGCAGGTACAGGCCTCCATGCCAGAGTCGGGGCCTCTAGCTGGTGGCCCATGGGGTTGACCAGAGTGGCGAAGTTGATGAAATGGGCGACGGACTGGGGTGTCCCGCTTCCAGCAGGACCTACAGTCTCTGGGATGAGTTCTGCAGACCGGTTGTGCAGCATAGCGGAGCCACTGACTGTGTCAAAGGTGACCGTGAGGATGGAGTTGTCCAGTGTGAGGGGCCGGTCGCTGGCTGTCAGGTGGCCCACGGCGACAGGCTGCAGGCTGGTAAACTGGGCAGGGGCGTGGCTGGTGATGGGCGTGACTGTGATGTTGGCCAGTCCCACTGAGCTATTGGGGGAGGAGGCTGATGGAGCACTGGGGTCGGTCAGAACCACCACCTGAAACGGCAACAATGAAATCAATTGCAACTCGATGATGAAAGCAGCTCATCTGGTGCCAAAGCACAACACTGTTGTTATAATCTAAGTTTGTAAGGAACAGTAGCTGGCTGAGGCCGTGAGTCAAGCTCAGCCAGCGATCCTGGCAGACCAGCTGACTGAACTGAACTGAATTTTATTGCATTCACATAGCACCAAATGACAACGGTCACTTCAAGGTGATTTATATTGTAAAGACTTTACAATAATGCAGAGAAAACCCCAACAATTAGACACCAGCCAGTGATCAAGCACTCTGTGACAGCGGGAAGGAAAAACTCCCTTTTAACAGGAAGGAAAGTGTTGTTACTGATGCTGCCACTCTCCCGCCATCTTGGCTTTCCATACTGCACATGTCAGGAAAGTTCCAGAACAGAGGCCAAATATAAATTACTGCAGCTGGAAAAACAGTCTTATATTGACTCAAGTGGCCCAGACAGAAATAATGTAGTAAACACATCTGAAAAATAAATACAATTAGAAAATATGTCTTATTTCACATTTTTAAATCAAACGATTTAAGCATCATGCCACTTTGTATAGTTATATTATTAAAATTGTTAAAGGTCTAATGTGTTTGAGCACATCTGTAATCACAAAGCCTTAGCTGTCAATTGTGGCTTCAAGCGTTGCACTGCATTTGTGTAATTTCATAACACTGTCTTAACAGTAGGAAAACAATTTGATATTATAAATGTAATCATTTTGTGGTTTGACTGTGTGTATTTTACACCTGCTTTACTCAACAGATCCACATTTTATCCTACAATTCCCAATGAAGTCATAACTACTAGGTCAACAATTACCAAAGTCAGCAATTTATTAGGTTATGTAACATTATAGCCCATTCAAAAAAACTTTATTAGACAACTGCCACAGTTATTAAATGATGACTTCATATCAAATAATCAACAAAACAAGTGCAAATCCAGATTTATTCAGCCTTTCATCGGCAATGTCGAGCCAGCCGCTGTGGGTGACTTAAGGGCTCTTCAGGGAGAAAAACTTCAGTCTGTGTTTTCCTTTTTAATCAGGCCGCCTGCCTTTATCCACTTATCGTGGTGTTCGGGGGG